ATCCTTTTTTTCAGGATGTCTCACATACTCTCCTTTGGACATCGGCTTTGTTTCCAGTAGGCAGCCAGTCTGAACTCAAAGCTAGTTAAGCGCAGGCTCATTTGTCATCTCATCATTCCTGTTTATGATTTTTTGTTTGGCAATGATTTAATTTGACATACTGCAGACACACACCTAAAATAAGTGTGGCTACTGATATTTATGATTTAATTCTAGCTACAGGTCATATGCTGTTCAGGATACTCACTTTGGAGCTCTGCAAACGCATATAAAATCTCCACATTCTGACTCAACTCCCAGTGTGTGTTGCGTCGCGGTCGTCTTCCCGACCATGGGCCATTCAGCCAGGGACCACGAGCACTGGGGAAGGGGAACGGCATCTCCTCCCAGGATAAACGGTGACTTCTGTGGCCCAGGACCACCACGGATGACAAGCAAGAGAGACCCGAGCATGTCATGGGCTTCGAGTTCTCAACTCCTGCTCCTAACCCCAGTGCAAAGCACAGGGGAAAAACTGAGCTGGAAGGTGGAGGTCAGGACACCCCAGGCCCCCCTTTTTTCTCCCCAATATTAAGAAGTAAAATCTTGAGGGAAAAATATCATTTTGAATCCTTAAAATAACCTTGTTTCACTGACACCATCCTAGCAAAGAGCAGAATTTCCTGGAAATCCAGGCTGGAGAACGTGGCTATTTTGATGCCACGGCTGCGAGGGAGCCAGCACGAGGCTTAGATTTTCTCAGGCTTTTGTGAAAATGTTTAAAATTCCAGAAGGACATCAGAGATTACAGTTTCACATTGGAAAACTTGCCACAGACTTCAAAACAGTGCTATGGTCTTGGAGCTACACCAAAATCACGTTTTATTTTTTACAGCGTTACAATGAACATCCTTTCGTTGATATAATTCACGTAGAAAGATTCAGAACTACGCTGAAGAACTCCATCTCGTTCATGCTCTCCGTAATGCCACCAAGTACCTTCTTGAGAAATAACAGCGTTCCAAGGAAACGGCAGGAGATGTTTGCTTAAATAACCAGTTTGAAAATAACACTAATGGCCTCACCGCCTTTCAAGAAATGCCAACGAGCACGCGCTAGCCAGCAGCTTCTCTGGACATTTAAAAACACTTAGGGAAAAAGCAAAGTACCCTATTATTTATACATTTTAAAATAAAAGCAAAAACAGACAGTAAATTCCCTGAATTTCTTCTTTTTATGAGCATGTCTGACTCTTGCACTGGAAACACCTGAGGAATTCTATCACAGAACATCCCCAGTAATTTCAAATTTTGACTTATTGCCCCCTGACTTAAAATACGCCAGCAGAAATCTTCAACCAGTATTCCTTTATGGCACTTCTGCTTTTTTTAAGCATAAATAAAAAAATGTATTAATGAAGTCAGCCTGGCATGGGGATAATTTACTGTTGAGCTTCTGAAGCTCTAATTACCTACCTTTAAAGTCTGCTGATTACTAGTGATAAATTTTATAGGCTTTACTGCCTAACAACAGACACCTTGGATTTTTTTCTTTACAGAAATTACACGAGCTTCTACAGAACACGTATTTGCAGAGTGCTGGAGGTAGAAGATCTGCACACACTGCTCCATTATACACCCATTTACATTTGCAGGATTAGGACCTAAACCTGGTATGCTTATTAATTCCATTCATGCTCAAAATCATCACTTCTCGGGAAGAGGGGACACTGTGAGATGAACCTTAGTGAAGGTGATTTTACGTATATAAATAACGGTATCCAAAACTCCTCATATTGTTGGTAGTCCTTACGTGGTCTGTTCAGCACAGGTTTGTACGTGCTACCACAGAAAACAAAAACCAGGCTGAAGGTCTTTACAAACTCCGTTACCAGGTGCTATCAGGTGACCTGTAATTCACACTTCACCATCGGTCATGAGGCTCACAGCACTGGCAGAGAGAAAAAAAACCCCTCTCGATAATTCTTCCTCTGCCTGCTAACTCCTAGTTACGAAACGATTCCTGCAGGGATCCTAGAAGATGCCCTGTTTTCATAAATGAGGCACGTCAACGAACGCCAGCGCGCGCCTTACCCCTCGCTCCAGAAGCATGTCTCGGAAATGCGTGATGCGCTCCTCCAGGGAAGGCGTGATCTGAGGTGCCGAGGTTCCCTCGCTCTTGTTCTCCACGTCAGCCTTCCCCTGGTCAGCAGCTTGGCAATCTTCTGTTCTTTAACAAGGTAAGATAGAAAGTAGTTCAGTAACTGCCAGCTCGGAAGGAGGTTCTTTACCCTCTCCAGAAAATCCTCCAGGACGGCAGGACTCCTCGGTGTACGTGGAGCAGAGCCGGGGAGCGGAGGCTGACAGCCGAGGAGGGACCCAAACCCACGGCTCGTTCTCAAACCGCGGGCTGGCAGGCCCTGAAGGGACCTCCAGCAGCTCGTTACGTGGAAGGATGCTCTACCGGGGTGACCACAGAGGAACTCGGCAGCGAAACACTACGCTGTATTTCAGGCTACAGAGAAGTGACAGCTTTATATAAAACTGGTCAAGGAGTGGAGACTTCAAAGGAGTGACTGAAGACACTCATCTTGGCTTATTTTTCTTCCCTCTGTCTTTGTGCCTCCAAACTTCAATGTCAACATTAATCTTTATTTTACATTCCCACGCACTCCACCACCTCACTCCTAAGAGAAGTACTCTGGTGATGCCTCGCACGCACACGCCTGCAATAAAGCATCAGCGAAGAACCTGCCCTTTGTCGGTGCCAGAAGGTCTGTGTATATCCTGACAGCCTTCTGCCAAGACTGCACCTGATTAGAATAAATAGGTGTTTCTGAGAAAACACCTACTACTTACCGCCCGAGCCCCTTTGCTTACAAGACCCCCTGGATAAACGCCGGTGCGTAGCACCGCGGTGCTCATTTCGGGGAGGAAGGGCAGTTTACTGCAGGTTGCAACCACAAAGCTGCGGCAGCACGAGAGGGATGCTCTCCTCAGGTGCAATCCTGCACAATCCGTGTCACCACCGTTTCAAACCAGATAAAAATCTACACAATTTTATCAGAGACCATTAACGGCGCGCTCTGTCAGCGCTGGAAGCGAACGCCTGTTTCCCCACTGTTTCAAGGGCTGAAGATTTGCCCCCGTGTGCCCTCAGCATCTGCAGCGAGAGGTCGATTAGATGGGAACCTTGACGGGAGGAAGGGTTCTGCTCCAGGAGGAGACGGGGCTTGAGCTGAGGACACGAAAGCCCTGACTTCAGCTGGCCAGCTCAGACCTCAGAACCGGACCTCTGCTCTGGGTCCACCCCGCTGCTCCGTAACGCTTCGAGCAATGAACGGCTTCAGCACAAATTCAGGCTCTTTCTGAAGAGATCAGGTGCCTTCAGATGATCACCAGGTTCAAGCGAGGATAATCAAAGTCAGGCGATTTGATTTTTAGCCTCCTACAAAGCACAACTGCATTTTCTACTGATGCAATCTTCACCACTACGAACAATACTTAGTTTGACATTTCAACAGGAGAAGGCTTTTTTATTTCCAAGCAAATGAATTAGATCAGTATGTAATGTGAGCCCCAGCGTATTATCTTCCTTCCACAAATAATTACATTACACTTGCATTTATCTTCAAATGATGCTGCATTACTAGTGATTTCAGAGATATCAAACTGGTGTTCTTCACAGAATGACAGCGTTTTTTAGATCGAATAGCAAATTTTCTTCTGTGACATGATCCATGAAAGGCCCAATCCAATTTCTAGCACAGACAAAGAGCTGTTTCAGGCCAAAACGGAGAGAAACGCAGCGCACTGCTCCCTTGGCCAAGCACCAGCAGAGCCCCTCTTGCCTTCAGTCCTTCCCACGCGATTGAAAATGATGCTGCAAATCACACGGACTTTTCTCCCTCACACCAAAAATGACACTAAAGAATGCAATTTTCTTTGGCAAATAATACAGTAATCTGCCCAACAAAGTGTGTGACTTGCTGTCCCGAAAGACACACGCGGGCAGCCTCTCAGCACGGGCGTGGAAGCCTGCAAGTCTCAGAATGGACAGGGTGGGGAGGCGTTCCTGGGTAACTCGGGCACCCACTGCAAGGAGAAGAGGCAATGGGCTTGAACTGCAACACAGCAAACCCACGTAAGCACAGGGAAATGGTGTTTTACTGGGAGGACGGGGGGGATGCTGGGGCAGGCTGCCCAGGGAGGCTGTGGGGCTCCAGCCCTGGGGATGCTCAGCCCCCCGGACAGGTCCCTGGATGACCCGCGGGGAGCAGGGTGGGACAGAGACCCCCGAGATCGTCTGTCATTCTGAGAAGAAAACCCAACTTTATCTGAAAATTGTTTTTCTTTTGTAGAGATACAATCAGAGCATTGCCTGAGTAAGAATTTCTCTTCAGTATTGTTAAGCAATTTCATAACACCTCAATAAAACGTAAATAAAAGCACAACAGCAGCTTGTGGAGCCCAGGTTCTGGCTGGAAGCACCGGGCAGAGGTGGTGCAAACGTCCCCGAGAGCAAGGACGGAGCCCTGCTTTCTTCTGCAGCCAGCCCGCGCCCAGCCCCGCTGCCAGCTCTGCCGCCAGCCAAGCCAAGAGCAGGAGAAGCGAAACAGCAGCTCTGCTCTTCCCAGTGTAAATTCAACACATAAATGTGAATATAGACATAAACGTGAACACTGGAAGGAACAACTGATGCAAAAATACTGGAATTGGAGACCTCTCCCAGACATCTGTGTGCTGACCCTCTAGTTGAATTATGAAGAATTGTGATGGAACTTTGATGGGATCCCTTCTTCAGCACAGCGCTTTCTGTCGAGCCGGTGATTTACTGCGCAGCAAAGGAACAACCTGATTCACTAAGTAACTTTACTTAGATAAAACAGAATAGGGAATACAGCATCGTTCAAAACAAACCCTGAAAGTACATAACACCTCCTTTTTTAGTTATACTTAAACAAGAAAAGATGTCGATATTGCAAAAATTAGTGGGTATTGCAAAAATAAGTGGGTATTGCAAAAATAAGTGGGTAACGGTTGTGCAGGGGTAAAGATGGGGTTCAATTTCCCGTTCTGCTGCAGACGGCAGCTGCAGGGCTGTGAGCATCCAGCCACAACCTGCCTTGCACTTGCAGCGATGCCGGGTTCTCCTGTCCCGGTGGGACCGGCCAGCCCCGCAGCGTGGGTGCCGGTGGGGGACAGACACACAGAGCATCACAGGACAGCGGGAGGAGGGGGCTCCCACCCCCAACAGCGTTCGGAGGAAAACACTCACTCTGTGTCCTTCACACAGAGGACAGCACTTGGTACAGAAGGCAATTCCACCCCTCTGCCCCGCTCTGCTGAGAGCCCCAGGAGTCCTGCGTCCAGCTCTGGAGCCCTCAGCACAGGGCAGAGCTGGAGCTGTGGGAGCGGGGCCAGGGGCGGGCCCCG